TCCCGATTAATTTCTACCTAGACAAATTAATCTTTTAACTTTAGTCGACCGATAAAAATAAAAAAATAAAAAAAAAATAAATTCGGATTATGAACTATATTATCAATTCGGACAAGTGTTTGTACTTCAATCAATACTTACTAACTAAGATATTAATAACTAATGAAAGCTTAATTACCGAGTGTTTCAAACCAAAACTCTTTTACCGTTTTGGAGAAGTTCTTTAGAATTCTAATTCTAATAAGGGTTTTCGATTTGTACTACCATCTTTTTCAGTTTTATACACGACAAAATGTAACAAAAGTAACAAAGACGACCAAGATAGAAAAAAACATACCACCGACACCTAAATCTCTTGTGTATCCACTTCTATATCGTCGCTTCAATTTAAAAAACAATTCAAAATACTATCCCCATATGTGTGGGTACCCATTTCAAATTTCCCAAAAAAAACCATTTGAAATGGATGGATATCCATTTGATCTGGAGTTCGAAATGAACTTCCTTTCGAGTTTAAAAAAAAAATAAAAAAATTCTATATAATGCTAGGTTGGTGAAAGTTGTGAATTCCCCTAAAATAAAATTACTTTAATATGCCACGCGGCATCAGCTTCTTGCTCCACGTCTGACACGTGTGACGCGCAAATGTTACAGATGTCTGCTTCGATTAGTGTTTTCGCTCCATTTCTGCTAAACACGACCGTCTTCTCTATTCTCACACTCACACTCTCACACAGAAACACAGTTGCAAAATTAATGGGGCACAACTTGGAGACGAGATCGTTGATGGATGAAGTGAGGAGCTTCAACAGTGCCGGAGGTCTCTTCGATTTTGGTCATCCTCTTCTCAATCGGATCGCCGGAAGTTTCGTTACCGCCGCCGGCGTAAGCCCCACATCTCTCTCTCTCTCTCTCTCTAACACGAAGTTTGATTGTAATGTGTGGTGCAGATCGGAGCAGTTCAGGCGGTTTCACGCGAAGCATGTTTCACTGCTCTCGAAAGTGAGTTCCCCAAAACTTTGGTCTCCTTCACATTTCTTCTATAAGAGTTCATAAAATAAAACAATACTAATCATCCATAACCATTTAACCATTTTACCACTGGTTACAGAATTGCTTAATCATGTTTAAAGTACAGATGAAGTAGAATAAGAATTTGACACCATAAAATTGAGCTGTTTTACTTATGATGAAGACAATGATCAAGTACTATTTCACGTTATCATCAAAATTTATTATAGATAACTGTTGTGAGTTTGGCTTCAGATGCTAATTTTTTGATGCTTAAGTAAAAGAAAGTTAAACATTGTTGCATAAAATCCGATTAAACACCATGAGGTAGTAGGACTCTGGTTGCATATTTTGTTTAAAAACCATTATCTTGCATAAACTGAAGAAGAATAAAAAGTTTTGCATAAACAAGCATGTAATACTGTGATAGATTAAGATCAAGAGATGATGAAACAAAATTTAATGTTAATTAAGTTGCTTTCTAATATGAATATAATCAGATGCAAGTGGAGACGAAACCAGCATTTCCAATAAAAGGAAGTTCCGAGGCCTTCATGGTATGATCTCATATATATATATATATATATATATATATATATATATATATATATATATACTTTTATTAGATAAAAGGTTTTATAGAGTAATACCAATTTTTATGGTTGTTATCGATGTTGATTTGCAGGGGAAACTAGTAGAAACTCTGTTGAAGCCTTGGTAAGTTTGTTACAAAATTTCCCTTTTCATTTCTTCAATTTGCCATCATTCTCTCTCAATGTTTTTTGAATATCATCATATCATGGTAATGGCCATGTTCTTTTTTACTTGAGTATTTATTATTAAAATATTGGTACAAGTGCTAGAATAAGATTCAAATTAGTTTACATTTCTTTAATCTATTTTTTTTTGATGTTCTTAGGTGACAAGCACAGGGAAAGAATCTATACAATGGGGTAATTAAGAAACTCATCTAATGGACTCCGAATAGTAATAGCAATCACAAGAATAATAAAAATTATAATGATTACAATAAATATATAAGTAATAATCATAATAATAATAGTCGGTGATATTTTTCATCTCAGGTCTAGCTGCTGGGATGTACTCTGGTCTGACGTATGGTTTAAAAGAAGCTCGAGGGGTTCATGATTGGGTTAGTCCCTGAATCTTTTGTCCATTTTTGTTATAATCGGGCAGACTTTGCAAAATAAAATAAAATGTCTTATAATGCTTAATAATAGGAATATATAAATGGGAAGTAGCATGCATGTTATAACTTAAAATAATAATAATAATAGCCAATAGATGGAATTAAGTTGTTATTAATTCATTCACATTTGTTTTTATCTAATATTATTTGGTGCAGAAAAGTAGTGCAGTGGCGGGAGCAATCACGGGTGCGGCTCTGGCACTTACATCTGATAATTCGTCTCATGAACAAATTGTGCAGTTGGCCATCACGGGTGCAGCTGTTTCAACAGCTGCAAATCTTCTCACTGGTATATTCTAATTTAAATGTACGTATGTATGTATGTATGTTCTCATATGTGTTTATGGTTTTAAGTGTGTTTACTTTTTTGTTGTAGCTACTATTTTTATTAATTAATGGATTTAGTGGGATGATTGGGTGCTTGATGTGAGACCCGTGTATTACACGGGTTTATTAAAAAGAATTAATATCAAATCGAAAACATTCACCAATTTTTAATGTAATACTTTGTTGGCAAGATTTAATTTTCGCTAGAACACAAGTGGAAACAAATGATTTTTATTTATTAGGATAGAAGATGAACATGACATCATATTTGCATTTTTATCCCTTAATAGTAACATACCTTCAATTGTATCACATAATAGCATCATACTTTTATTTTCATCCTATGATAGCACAACTAAAAAACCATTATGCCCTTGTAAAATAATTACCATTATGCCCTTGCACTGTTAACATATGAAAATTAATAGTTTTAACATATCCAGGAACATAATTCTAATTTTCAACAAAATAAAAACTTACTTGTATTTATGAATGGACACGACATCATATTTGCATATCCCTTAACATCATCATAATTTCATTTGTATCATATAATTGCATCATACCATTATACTTGCGTTTTCAACCGATAACAGCAACGTAGTTTTTGTTTAGTAGTTTTTGTTTATATATATATATATATATATATATATATATATATATATATATATAACTTTATGATCGTTATATATAAATTAGATTTAAAATGATTACTGATTTTGAACAATTTTATTTTAGTTCATTAATAATTAGATAAAAACATAAAAGTTAGAATAATATTTTTGATAGACTCATGATAACAAACACAATCATACAGGGTAGTAGTTTAATGTTATTTTAACAATCCTAAAAATAAGGTCAACAGAACTACATGTACGAAAATATGGTGAAAAACTATAGAAACACGCTAACGCAAATGAATTGAATTAACTTTGTTAACATGACGTCTAAAAAGTATGGATGAAAGTGAAATACCTGCAATAAAATCTTGCAAGCCATTTAAGAGGTTTTTGATATTTGGATGTCATCATCTTATGATTTAGGACCATGCAATCAGGTTCATTAGAACTTATTAAAAAAAAAAGGAAACACAATGTAGATCATAATGATTAAAAAACAACCTTTTCATCCATGGCTAATGGTAATGCCTTATTTATATGTAAAAGTTATTTAGAGGATGCTAAAGGTTATCTCACATCATTGAAAATCAATTTGCAAAAAAGAAAATCCACCACATCTTGATGTATAATAGATTGTCATGTATGGCCACCATGGCACCTTCAAACTTTCTTAATTTAAAAAACACACGTGATAAAGAAGAAAAGTTCTTAATTTAAAAAACACACACACGTGATAAAGAAGAAAAGTTCTTAATTTAAAAATCACACGTGATAAAGAAGAAAAGAACCGAATCATCAGTTATTTTTTTTCCCTGCATATATGATTATTTGTCAAACTTCTATCTAATTTATCCAAATTAATATCATCGAATTAATTATTCGGGACTGAGTTATAGATGGAAACATCATGTAGTGAGGAGGGTTTACGTGCTTGTTGTCAGCAATGACAAAGATGGTGTTGGACATCCTAATAAGATGGTGAGATAGTGATGAACAAAGTGAAAGAGGTCAGCTGTTTCTTGGCAGAGAAACAAAGACAAACCAGGAACGGAACGAAGATTAGAGATCAACACATTTGTGGGAGATGATGAAGTAGGAAACGATCCCTTTCTAATGATGGTGAGGCGTTCGTTCCATTCACTATAACAAAAAAAAAATGAATCAACTGCCTAGGCCTGCAAGAAGATTTTAAGGACCGTCAAACAAAAAATTTGTATAAAAGAGAGTGCCCCAAAAATGAAAACATAAATAATACATCATCTTCCTGATCGACTTAGGACAACCTGCTGGTGGTTCATCCTTGGGTTAAGTTACAAAAAACGTTTGAAGCGACAGCATGGTCTACAACAATAGCGGTAGATTAGTTTATCATCTCTAGCGGACAACACATTCAAAAAGATTGATTCAAAGGATATAACATCACATACACAGAGATTCAAAAACAGAGGACAACTGTGGTCAGGTAATTGCATATGACAATTGAAAGAGAAAAAAATTCCATGATTAGAAGAAAAACGGAATTCAAAGTTTGAAGTTATATATACTAAAATTAAATCGTTATAATAGTCAACATTCCATATATTATACACTAACATTTATTCGAATTCAATGTATTAGTTGTCAAATTGAGTGGCATTAAACGTTGAAGTCAATTCCTTTCAATATTTAACTGATTATATAAAAATATTAATTAGGTGTCATTATAGGTTAATGACAAGTGGAATCTATCATAATAAATGACACAAATCATTTCATTTATTATGATAGATTTTGGTTTCTGATTGATTTGTGCTTCTTTGGACATTTTAGTTTATTTATTGGTTTTGTAGATGTGTAAAATAATAAATTTAGTAATTGAATGCATGAAGTCAAGTATATGAAGTTATTTATTAGATTCGTAAAATGTAACAATGATAAAGAAGTTATTTATTTATTAGATTCGTAAAATGAATCGTTATTTAATTTCTAGACAACATAATGATTTCTTCGATAAGATTGTTGACGTTCAAGGACGAAGAACCATTGGCAGCCGTTGCAGCACTAGCCTTTTCCTTCCACTCCATGGCTTTCTTCCTCATCACAAGACCACCGTCTCCCATCAACTCCTGTACAAGCTTACTAACTTCCTCCCTTTTCACCTCCTTCTCCATCTCCATCCCAACCTTCCATTCCTTGCATATATACCTACAATTAGTCAGCTGGTCCCACAGATAAGACCAACATATCATTGGTACACCAGCTGTCAAGCTCTCAATGGTGGAACCCCAACCACCATGAGTCAAGAACCCTCCAACCGAAGGGTGCTCCAGCACCTTTTCCTGTGGACACCAGCTTGCTATAAAACCTCTCTTTTTTATAACCTCCTCAAACTCAGGAGGCAAAACTGCGGATTCTCCAGCAACCACATCCGATCTAATTATCCAAAGGAAATAGTGATTGCTATTAGCAAGTCCCCAACCAAATTCTATAAGATCTTGTAAAGACATTACTGTTGAACTCCCATAGTTCACATAAATCACAGACTTTAATTCCTTGGATTCGAGCCATTTCAAACACTCTGGTTCTTCTTTCCATAAGCTGTATCCATTGAAATTCGACAGTTTAGCTTGTCTTTCCTTTGCCGGAATCTGATTAAGAAGTAACTGAACTGGACCAACCGTGTAAACATGAGGAATCATGGATGAAAGAGCATCCACAAGACTAGTCTCCAATGTGTCAAACGTGTGAATAATATTGTATGAGACTTTGTGGGCATTTTGTGTAGCTTCCATACAGAACCTAAACAGTTTGTGCGAAGGGTCTAATATCGGTAAATGCTTAAGCTGGATTCCTTTCATTCCTGGGATCCAATCAACAATGGTTTCCAAAAATCCATTTGTCAAGTAATTTTCATCTGTAGACATGAATAACAGCTGTACGATATTACATGTTGTACATATGAAAAGAAGGCCATATATCTAAATCGTACATACAAAAAAGAAGCAAACCTTTTAGTGGTGTAAGTCCTTTCTCCATGAGAGATTTGGTCTGGTAAAAACCCATGAAGCCAGAAGCCGAAAGTGTCCAGTAGAGCATGACCGGGATTCCCAATTTTTGGGCAGCATCGATGGTGAAAACCGACGTGAAGCCATCGGAGATGATAAGAGTTGGAGGAGTAGATAGTTTGGTTGCAAGATCAAGAAAAGGAGTCAGGAGGTGGGTTTCAACATAAGGAATGAGCAGTTCTTTAGCTTCGTCATCTTCAGAACTACGAGGAATGCTGTCAGGAATGGTTGCAAATTGGAAACCATTTGATCCATCGAGGCTGTGGGCACCACCAGACTTGAGCAAACGCTTGTGGATGAACTCTGTGTTAATAAATGTTATTTGGAGTCCCTTGTGGTGAAGAAGCTGCGCTAGTTTCAGCATAGCCTTTACGTGGCTTTGGGCTGGAAGTGGGATAAAGATGACATGAGGCTTCTTCTCAGTTTTGGCCACTGTCTCCATTCTTCTGTGTCTGTTTTCAAGGGGATTGTGGTGAATATAAATCTGGGCTTGTTAGTGCAAAGCTACGAATATAACAAACAAGAGAAATAACTAAATATGATTTGATATGTTGACTTAAGCTGATATTGTCCCTCGTGTTTATGCGTTTAGGTTTTAATGAATGAGTTGTAGTCGCCAAGCATGCCGGCTTTTTAGGATCATTATGAAGTAAATAATATTTATATCATGATTTGATTTAGAATCGGAACAAGGAAATTTATTATTGGCTATAATGGCGAATTGAAGAAACCGAGATTTGATTTACGATCCCAAGAGGTTGTTTTGATAAAGCATAAAATCTCGAAGACAGCTAAGTTTCAAGTACGGGAGGAGTCCTAGTTTGACCAGATATTCCAACTTTTGTAAAATATTCCACGATTGATAAAAACTGAACAATCGTAAATTTATATAAGATGTTTGGACATGGCTTATAATCAATTGATAAATTAATGTGTTTTAACGTGAAAATTTTATGACCTGAACCTGAACCTGGTTAAGCTAAAAATTTGACAATATGATATAATACGAAACAATCTCACTAAAAATGTAATAGAACCTCATTTAACCATCAGACACAATTAGAAAATTTTGAGCTCGGCTCTCAGCTCTGCAAGTGGGCACCAAAATTTTCTATTAGAAAATTAAGTATCAAAGAATATTCCAACAAATTAGATTATTTGATTTAGTCAATCTATTATAAATTTTCTCTATATGTTCTTTAAATTATGTTGTACCTTGTATTATAAATTACAACTCGATGCACATATCGAATTGTGGTGAAATTCATATTTGTCTATCATGGTATCAACCACACTCTCACCCCTCTCTTAAATCGCAAACCGTAATTTTTTTGTGCATCCATTCTCAATCGATCATCGATCTTCTCTGGCTTTCCTTCTTCCCTCTATACATCTTCTTCTCTCATGGCTGGTTCCTCATCTTCACATGAGTTGCCTCTCCCCATGAATACTCTGGTGCATATACTCACAATAAAGCTCTCATCCACAAATTTCTTCCTATGGCAAAATCAAATCTCAACATTGCTCATTTATCAAAATTGGATGCGTTTTGTTGATGGATCTTAATCAGATCTATCTAAAACTATCACTACAGAAGGTAAGACTACCTTAAACTCAAAATATTCATCTTGGTTTAACACAAACAAGAAAATTCTTCTCCTCCTCCAATCTTCTCTCATAGAGGAGGCAATAACATAAGTTTTAAGCCTTACAACCTCCCATGAAGTTTGGAAAGCTTTGGAATCAACATATAGCCATGATTTTATGGAGCGCTCTCAAAATCTCAAAGACTCTTTACGTCAATTGAAGAAGGGCAGTCTCTCTGTTTCTGATTATGGGAAACAATTTAAAGCTATATGTGACAAGCTTGTTGCTATTGACCAACCTTATTATGTGACAATTTGAGTGTCATTTTTCTTAGTCAAAATCCAGTTGCCCATCGACAGGCAAAACATATTGATATTGATTATCATTTCGTTCGTGAACTTGTATCTTCAGGAAACATGCACACCAAATTTGTACCTACCAAGCTTCAGGTGGCCGACGTCTTTACAAAACTGTTACCAAAACCTTTCTTTGACTCGTTTCGAGATCACTTACATGTGCGACCTCGTTTGAAGGGGGGGGGGGGGTATCGAAGATAATATTCCCACAAATTAGATTATTTGATTTAGTCACGTACATGATACTAGGTTTTGACGAAGGAAAATTGTGTTGAGAGTAACGAAGTGCTGTCTGAGTACCAAGTCACCATTGTATCAGGTGAATGCATGATCCCTTTCATCTTACACATATAAATGAAGTATTTTATATAAACCACATGCTATGTGTGCATATTATCTGTATACTTGCTATCTATGCTAGATGAATGATTTTATACAAGTTTTATATGATTTAAACTATATATATATATATAAATATATATATATATATATATATATATATATATATATATATATATATATATATATGTTAGGTAAAACATGGGTAGATGAAATATGAGTTGGATGATGAGTTGAGAGGTGATATAAACCATGAGGTAAGGCTGAGAGGTGGACGATGTGAGAAGCCTTGTTCCTAAATGTTGGCCCCGTCATCTAGCAGAGTATGGATGACAACCACGGACTATTCTAGACTGTCCAGTGGAACACTAGCAGGCTCGTAACCTGTAGGTGTTGTGAACGATGTGTTCACCGGTGTACTCTAAAAACCCATTGACATGTATTGCGAGTGAACTCTCAAAAACGATACTGCCAATAAGTGAGATAACCCTGACAGATGCT